ATTTCTTTGGCTCGACAACTAAACCGACGTCAGACGCGGAACCCCATTGACGTGTGGTTGATTATTAAGGAACACTGAGCGCCAGTCGAAGCTTAACAAAATACTGATAAAGGTCACCAGTAGAAAAATCCAGACGCTTTCAGCTCTCAAAAGCACACTTCTCTATAGTTTTCAACTTCACTTAATCCTAGTTGCTACACAATCACGACCTGCAGGTTCTTCAAAAATAACAAACAAAATCCTTGATTCTAGAGAGGAGTGTCTTTTAGTTTTGCGAATCTTTCGGCGTCGCCAGCGTACCTTGCATAGGAGACAAGCGATGAAAATCTTCCAAGACGACAAAAATGGAAATTGCGTGAGGGCACTTTTATTGGGACTCAGAGGTACGAACATCCGCGTACTTGCCGACATCGACTCAGACGAAAGTATCCAGGGCATATATTCCGTGACAGAATCGCGCAAAAATCCTATGGTGAATTTTCCAGTGGACCAAAAGCAGGCACTTCTAAACCAACCAAAAAGGCTGGAACTGCGTGTTATTTGTTACCTCTGCCTCCCAAATCTTGGGTAGCATGCCGTCGGGTATGATCAGTCAGAATAAAGGCATAACTGGCGGGATTAGGGGCACAGGGAGGTTAGGAAAAGGGACAGCGTCATAATGTGTGTGTGCAGTATCCGATGTAGTCTTTGTCACCACTTAAGCTGCACGGGGAGCAAGCACGGTTACCATGCGTTTTTGAGAGAATATCGAGCAAGACTAGATCGTTGGGATCTGAGGGTGGCGGGGAAAAAACGAAACGATGGAGGAAAACGAGAGGCTTCCTGCCTGACACATGACAAATAGGTTTAACGGTGAAAAATGAGGAACCAGAAAATCAGATCTGGTGAAGCAGCAGAATTGGCGTCATCCAGCCGTTCATGTTGGAATCGAACGTAAAACCACCGCTCAGGCCTCGTGACCCGATGCGGTGTTCCCAATACACTCGAACGAAGCCCCGAAGACATCAAAAGTCAAACACTGAAAGTGGTGGACGGCGCGGCCGACGCGCACTGTCCGGGTTTCAGACCGATATAGCGATATGAATCACGCCGCATCGTTGTAAACTCGACCCTTGACGAATAAGCTGATGTCACACATATATTACAGGTGACGCAGGTTCACAAAGGCTGCTCTGGCCTTCCAAACCGGAACGGAGATATCATCTTTTGCGAGACCACCGGGACTGGCACAGCTACCCAGTTGGACAGGCTTGCCTGCTATCCCAATCGGCTCATCCGCAAACGTGAGGCTAGAATACTGATCTAACCGGTTTTGCAGTTTCGCTTTACATTTGCAGGTGTGAAGCGCATGCCAAACAGTGAGGGGGGTATTTAGATTACTTATTATCGTTGAACTTACCACATGGTCACATCCAAGAAGATCTATGTCGCCTACGTACTTGCTACATTTGAGCGGACGCCACGCGAACACAGGGCTTAGAGGCTTATAGTAAGTCTTCCATGGTCACAGCAATGACGAAGTTGATGAGGAAAGGCGAAAGAGGACGATCTCGTCTGACACCACTTGATGTGGTGAACCGCGCACTGTCGGGTTTCAGACCGATATAGCGATATGAATCACGCCGCATCGTTGTAAACTCGACCCTTGACGAATAAGCTGATGTCACAAATTTATTACAGGTGACGCAGGTTCACAAAGGCTGCTCTGGCCTTCCAAACCGGAACGGAGATATCATCTTTTGCGAGACCACCGGGACTGGCACAGCTACCCAGTTGGACAGGCTTGCCTGCTATCCCAATCGGCTCATCCGCAAACGTGAGGCTAGAATACTGATCTAACCGGTTTTGCAGTTTCGCTTTACATTTGCAGGTGTGAAGCGCATGCCAAACAGTGAGGGGGGTATTTAGATTACTTATTATCGTTGAACTTACCACATGGTCACATCCAAGAAGATCTATGTCGCCTACGTACTTGCTACATTTGAGCGGACGCCACGCGAACACAGGGCTTAGAGGCTTATAGTAAGTCTTCCATGGTCACAGCAATGACGAAGTTGATGAGGAAAGGCGAAAGAGGACGATCTCGTCTGACACCACTTGATGTGGTGAACTCAGGCGAAGGCTTCACATGGACCTTCACATGACCGCGAGAGTTGTGGTACAGCGCCTTGAGGACGGTCAAGAGTTCATGAGGAACACCCTTGCTCCACAAGCACTGCCATATTGCCTGACGGTCCACAGGGTCAAAAGCAGGTTTCAGATTAAGGAACACAACCATTGGTTGCCGGAAGCAGTTTCGCTGTTCTGAGATCTGTAGTAGGGTGCATTTGTGGTTGATGTATCCTCTAACCGTGTGGAACCCAGTTTGGTTTATGTAGATCTGTTTCTGAATGTGTTCAACTAACCGTCGGAGATCTATCGAGGTTTTGATGTCCACCGAAACGCTCAGCTTTTTCTCGGGCGCCTTGCCATTTGGCGTTTGGCAGATCTGCCCTTGCCGTCATAATGGTTATCTTACGTTATAGATTTCCCCTCGTTAATCATGGATAGCACTCAAAGTTACCTACTTTGGCCAGGGTGTTCAAGTTTTTAATGGCTGCAATGGCTCAGGGTGATGTCCTTCGGATTAGCAGTTCTGCTGAATAACCTTAGGTGCACTCAGGCTTCATCAATTTGGTCAAGGAATTCAAGTTTTTAATGACTGCAATGGCTCAGCGTGATCTCTCCGTGAACACGGTATGAAGTCTTGTGCAGAAGCTGGTTTCTTCACGCGTTTTCTTCTGTATTTGATTTGGAAATATTTTGAAGGAGCACATGCGAAATAACAATGCTGTCTTTTTCCGCGCAAACTCATAAAGTGTTTGCCATCTTTGCGATAGGCGTCTCGCTGGTCAGCGCCAAAGAATTTGTTGCAGCTAGTAAGTTTTATGGATTTTTTGTATGATTGCACACGCCGCATCGGGTGCAGGGAAGTTCATATCTTCACCAACATACTTATTCCTTGATGGCACTGTGGGAAGAATTTCTGAGTTTGTGGGCAGCGAGATCAGACGGTACCACACAGTGACCAGTGCATCGCCGTTTGGGCACAAATCTAGCGGCTTCAGACAGCTTTTTAAGCGCGTGTAGCACGCTCTACCGGGGAACGGTAGACAAGGTGAATTACGGACAGGCCATCAGGCTGGCTGTGGCAGCTTCGGTACGTTAATGCCGACGTACTACATTGGTTAGTGAGAAGCCTCGTATCGTGTATCGGTTGGGGTTGGCAGAGAAGATGAGTTTGGCGTGGGAGTCGTGACAGAAAACAACCAACATAGAAGAATATAATGGGATTTTTCGAGGGAGCAGAGTGTTTTGTTGTTGTCATCCAAATGAGTTAATGGGACAACCATATCTGCAGTGAGAAATAGAAATTTGGAGGTGTCAAAAAGATCTGAAAAATTACACAGATTTGGAAGATAGAGAGCGGTTTAAAATAGTGGACAGCTAACAGTCCATAAAATTTGCAACTAGCGTAGTGAAACGACTGCGCCTAATCTCAAAAACGGCCATCGATATTCAGGTTCAGATAGTAGGTAATGGTGGTATGTGGTCGATGGGAACCGTCGTAACCATACATGAATTAAGGGGAGTGCGCTAGCTGAGCGATGTTAGTTGCAGGTTTCCTTTCCCAACTTGCCTATTGAGGCATGATCGAGTCATCACAATTTCGAACTCTGCAGGCGGTAAGGAGGTAAAACCAACGAGGTCTCTTTATTACACACCGACTCACCAAGTCCTTGCTACAACTATCCTCATGGTTTCATAGTTCAACGATCCTTGTCTTCGGATTCCAAGAATCAATTCTGTACTACTTGAATTTACATCACCTTTGTGCACTTAGCTCTTCAGCTTCAATTTCGATTCGATGCACATGGGTATGGGCCTACGATAAGTAGCGAAGATAAGCCACAAGGCGCATGCTTGTGAGTCCGGAAGGCCGTCACATCCTGTTGACCTGGCTTTCATGCAAAGTTGGGGCCTCACAGTACGCGTCGAATAGTCACCGACCTGGCAGTTAAGATTGGTAACCAAGGTGGGCGACAGAGCGTGCGGCTGTCATAATGAAAGAAGATAGTAGGTCCTATTTTTTGCAACAGGAAATGATGTATTATCCATTAAGAAATTTATGCATATGTGAGAACGGTGATCATGCAAAGGTGTAGACTTGCATCAACTCTGCACAATGCGTCAAGATTTCTCTCATTATTATGTTCGGAAAAGGGCATGTTGTGCCGAAGGTTTGTGTGCAAACTCATCTAATTTGTTACATATGCATGCGTATTACGCATGCAGACGTTGTTAATCTATTTAAGAGGATGATATTTGCACTGATAATTCTGCAGATGTTACACGCATTTGAAGGGCACCGAAGGACAACGCAATTCATATGCAAAAATTGCCTTCAGAATTCAACCCAGACTGCACTAGCATTTCATGGCATCTAAAGCGTAAATATCTAAGTTAACTTAATAATTGTGTTCTGCACAATTCAGTCCCAACTGGCATTGAGACAACATCGAAAAACTATACCTCAAAGCGGCAAAAGATCAACCAATTCTCTCTTGCGGCATGACGCAGTGAATAACCCTCATAACCAAGATCCCTATCCTAGGGTAGGCGTTGTGCAGTTCTGAGAGATTCAACGCATGCATATTTCGTCAAGATTCGTAATGCGCGGTGAGATAAACGTGCGTTGCCCTGGGATAGCTTCCAAATCGAAACAAAACCCGCCAAGTTTATTCACAAACGGAATTTTGTGAACCATGATTGAGTGCAATTAAATAAACAGTATCCGGCACCGACAATGAAACGAGTTTTGTTTGAACTAGGTCCCCCATTCCCACTTTTACTGCGAAATTTGAAACGGTGTGCGGCTGCACTGTGTGCACGCTGCAAAAACATAAAAAACACAAAAACTCTCCCAAAAAAATTTCAAAAGAATAATCTATAAACAAAAAATGGCTGTTGCAACCCAAACGGCACAAAGCTTGCCTCAGACCTCCCTATATGTGGGTGACTTGCACCCGCTGGCCACGGAAGCCTTACTCTATTCTAAATTCTCGGAAATTGGTACCGTATTAAGCGCTCGCATTTGTCGCGATTTGGCCACCCGAAACTCTCTCGGTTACGGTTACGTAAATTTCGAAGAACCAAAAGATGGTAAGTTGGATTGTGAATCCGTGATTACAATTTGTAGCCGAGCGCGCCCTCGAAAATCTCAACTATGAGTCGTTCATGGGGCGCCCCATCCGTATCATGTGGTCCCAACGCGACCCTTCACTTCGAAAGTCCGGGAAGGGTAACATCTTCATCAAGAACTTGGACAAGACCATTGATCAGAAGCAGCTTTACGATACTTTCAGTTTTATCGGGAAAATACTCTCGTGCAAGGTATGTCGTTTGATTCTCAAGCAATTTACTTTCAGATTGCCATGGACGAACACGGAAATTCGAAAGGGTATGGGTTTGTACACTTCGAGAAAGAGGAGTGTGCTGAACGCGCCATTGAGAAAATCAATGGCATGATGATCAATGATCGAGTTGTGTACGTCGGCAAATTCATACCCAGTTCAGACCGTAAATCGGCCTCAGGAAAACTCCGGTTCAACAACATATACGTAAAGAACTTCCCACCGGATACTACTGATGAGAAGTTGCGCGATATGTTCAGTGAATTTGGGGAGATTAAGAGCTGCTGCGTCGAGAAGAACCCTGAAGGAAAGTCTAAAGGCTTTGGTTTTGTTTGTTTCCATGACCCAGATCATGCTGAACAGGCCGTCAGGGTTATAAGAACCCTGAAAGTCTAAAGGCTTTGGTTTTGTTTGTTTCCATGACCCAGATCATGCTGAACAGGCCGTCAGGGTTATGCATGGCAAAGAAAGAATCTCGGGCCGTACTGAAATGAACGCCACTTTGGTGGGCTCCAAACCCTTGTATGTTGCTTTAGCTCAACGCAAGGAAGACAGACGCGCGAAATTGATTGCCGAGCATCAACAGCGCCTGGCTCAATATAGAAGTCCTGTTACACAGATGTT